TATAGCCTTAAGCTTCCTACTTATCAACTTTAATCATGTACTTTTATATATTCGGTTTATTGTGGCAGGTATGAGATAAAAGTCAAGCACTTGTATATACACTGCAGCTGCGTTATAAGGCTCCCCGATATAGTGCTAATCTCAGTATAATGCTCATAGGCCTTTGCTCCCAATTTACTCAGTTATTATGCTACTAATGATGTTGAAATCCTATTATTAGGATGTTTTGTGAATAGTTTTGATGTATTTAGTTTTTATCAGGTGACATAACTTGTTGTCAGTGTTGTATTACTATTGAATATAAAACATTATCATTATGATGTCACCAGCCTCATAAAAAGTTAGATAAAAATTGTCATGTCAAAAAAAGAGGAATGCAGGTTTTTGATGTTATTAATAATAGTAATTTTGTTGACACAGATATATTTGTGTTTTCTATGGTATTTTATAAGGGCAACTTCTTCATAACAGGTCCATTATAGAAATTTACCAGGTCAAAGGTTGAGGTTGGAATTATTTACTCAATTGACATTTAAAGACGGTTTACTTTGATGAAAAATTAGAAACGATTGTAAAAATTATGGATAAATGGTTGTTTTTGAATATTTGTGAGCTAATTTATTGTTTGATTTCAGTGATATGACATCACGTAACTCGTGCACACAGCTATGGTTGATAATGCAGTATCACGCTAACGGTTCACTGTACGATTATCTTCAATATAACACACTAGACCACCAGAAAGTATGCTACGATTTAATGCACAGTGCCTGTGCCCGGACTAGTACATTTACATACAGGTATGTTATATGAATTTTATTAATACTACTGACCAACACGAAAGTATGCTACGATTAATGCACAGTGCTGTGCCGCGACTAGTACAGTTTTCATACAGGTTTATGTTTATTAATTTTATTATACGCACTAGACCACGAAAGTATGTTACGATTAATGCACAGTGCATGTGCCGACTGGTACATTTACCATACAGGTATATTATATGATTATATAATACACTAAGACACGAAAGGATGTTTACGATTAATGGACAGTGCTTGCGCCGGACTGGTACATTTACATACAGGTAATGTTATTGAATTATATAATATACACTAGACCCACGTAAAGTTATGCTACTGATTAATGCACAGTGCGTGTGCCGGACTGGTACATTTAATACAGGTATGTTATAGACATGAATTATATAATACACTAAGACCACGAAAGTATGTTACGATTAATGGAACAGTGCTTGCGCCGGACTGGTACATTTACATACAGGTATATTTATTATGAATTTATATAATACACTAGAGCCACGCAAAGTATGCTACGAATTATGCACAGTGCGTGCGCTGGACTGGTACAATTTACATACAGGTTTGTTTATGAATTATATAATATCACACTAGACGCACCACGAAAGTATGCTTTATGATTAATGCACAGTGCATGTGCCGGACTGGTACATTTACATACAGGTATGTTGTATGAATTATATAACACACTAGATCATAATGATTTATATGAAATGATAATAATGATAATTCATATAAAAATGATAATTATGATAATTTATAAAGAAATGATAATTATGATGTATACATATATTGATAATTTATACATACAGTTAATTAGAATATTCATATAAAATGATAATTATATAATTTATATAAAACAACAATTCTTATATAGAGGATATTTGTTAAGTTCAGTGTAAGATCGGAATATAATTTCACCGAGGTTTGAAAGCACCAAAAAGGTATATTTCACGACGTGGCGTAGCCACGAGTTGAAATATGAGCTTTTGGTGTTTCACGAGGTGAAATATATTTTCGATCTTACACTAAACTAAACAAATTTTTCTTTTTATTACATTGCAATCAAACCGTTAAAAAGGATCATTTTTACCTTCAAATAAATGCAATAGCGCGCAAAATAATTATACAATGTGATGTCATTTACGACGTCACGTTATTAGGTTGGTTTCCAGTTCTGTGCACCGCTGGTCTTTCACTGAAAACAACGTAAGGGGCTTAAATTCAAAACAGTGAATTATCAAATTGAATAATTTCACTGTTTCAAACAGTGAAATTATCAGTTTTAATTCACTGATATATTTCTATAAACCATCGAAAAGCCATGTAATAAATAGTTATAATTTTTTGATTAAGAAATAATATTTCCCAAACTGTGTTTGCCTAATAAAATCACTGTTTGGAGGTTTGGATGCGAGGAATTTTATCAAGAAGGAGTAGCTCGAGTGATATAATGATACCCCATCCGAATGACAAACAGTGATGTTATCAAACGATTATATCCACCGATTTGGGATATATTATTTTGATTCTAACATGACATCAACAAATAAATGCTGCCATACCTGATATTAAGCTAAATTGAGCCTGATTTGTTTCCGTACTTTTTTCAGCGCATCACATTTTACTTGTTACGTCACGTGTATAATGATTACGTCACATGGTTAAATTTTTAGCATGTAAAAAAAGAGTATTTTATGGTTTAATAATGCACATTCCGGTTCTTCTATTTTCCCAATTTAGGGAAAAATGTGGGCGTTTAGAATAATATCAATATAAAAGGGGAAAAATTTTGATTTATATAAAAAAGAAAATTTTTTAAAATTGAAAATTATGGTAATTTATTTTAAAAAAATAAAAATGAAAAATTAAAGATAGTTATGAAAATTTTTAATAAAGGATGATAATTTTAAAAATTTTATATATTCAAGTTTTAAGGGGGAAATCGGGGTAAACCAGCAAAAGCCCATAAAAGAATTAAAAGTCAAAGAATATTTTAGTACGTCCCCAAGAGGCCAAGTTGGGTATACCCCCCAGATCTGGGCTTGCTGTTTTTACATAAATGTGGGAGAATTTAAACTCGCCCAAAGGAAAATATTTTATCAAACAAAGAAAATTTTTGTAGGTTTTTCTGTCCTATGAAATTTTTGTTTTTAAACACCCAAAAATTTACCACTGAAAAGTACAGAAAAAAATTTTTAAAATTTAATTGTTGGGGTTATTCCCCTACCTGTTTTTTTTGGTTTTTGATTGTTTTGGGGTTTTGGTTTTAAGTTTAAAAGGGAAGATGCCCTGTACGGTTCTTTCGTGCTTGGGAGAAAATGTGAATGTTGTTATTTTGGGCATGGAAAAAAGGGTGACGAATTACCCAAATTTAAAGTGAAAATAGGTAAAACTATTCAAAGAGTTGGAAAACATTGTATCCCACGGGCATCGGGCACCCATGAGGGATTTTTTTTGTTGCAAGGGGAAATTTCCCAAAAACTATGAAGAAAATTTGCACATTTATTTTAGAGCAAAATGGGAAATCATTGCCCAAGGCCCTTTAATTTCTAACAGGTTTTTGACAAATTACCAGACCCCTTGTTTTACTACCCAAGCACAAAGAAAAAATCAAAACCCCGTGCTGCCCCTACGGCCAGCAATTTAAAACTTTTTACTTTTCTTAATTCCCCCAAATCCCTTTTTATTTCTCAAGTTTGATTTTCTTGAGTTATTAATATTATTTTATTCAACGAGTTCAATAAATCCAGTAATAAGCTTACACGAATATAATATTTAATTTATCACATACCCAAAATAAAGTGAAAAATATTCATTTTTTCATTGACACATGTATAGTGTAACACTAACTTTTCTTTACATGTCTTTACACTATGTTTGTATAATGCAAAATTTTGTTTGTTTTGTTGTGTTTGGGTTTTATGTCACAATCAACACAATCTAGGTCCATATCACGATGTTCCAGCTTTTTCCTGGTGGAGGAAATACCTCAGGTGCCCTTCTCGTGCATTATTTCAGGCACGAACGGGCACCTGAGTAGAAAACCACCAACATTCCATAAGCTAGCTGGGATAGCTTCCTCACATGAAAGAATCTAAAGTCCCTTGTTGGATTTTGAAAACCCACAGCAGCGGTGAGGGGCAAGTGGTTTGAAAGTCAACGACCTTAACCACTCCGCCACCGGACGCCCCATATAACGCAAATGACGTCATTTTTAAAATATATGCATGGTCATGCAATACCATTTTTACGGAGTCGCAAAAGCTACACAAGTATGTTGAAAAAAAGGATTAACGACATTTCAATATAATGATTATTTTGATTATTAAAATTGCTGTAATTTCAGGCTCAAATAAATGAAAGTCGGTACAAAGAGATATATGGCACCGGAACTATTAGATGAGACGTTAAATCCCGACATATTTGACAGCTTTAAATGTGTAGATATCTATGCGTTCTCTCTCGTACTGTGGGAGATAGCTAGAAGATGTTACTCACAAGGTATGGTAACAAATTTTTTGGCTTTTGTATTGAGGCTTAAGTTATATGACTTTATATGACTTTTAAACTATAACATTTTCACTGTTGATATATAAAAATATAATTCAATTTTACAAGTAAAACAATTTTTTTTTTATTCTTTTCATACTTATTATATGAATTTTATTCGATTTTACTGACATTTGCAGTGTAATGTCATATGCTTTTTTTCTTGTTATTAATTTATGACAACACTGGAGGCTGGCATAAAATAATTTTATTCAACTTGTTCAGTTATTCAGTATGGAACCTACACAAGTGATATACTGGCATTATATAATTTTATTCAACTCATTAAGTTATTCAGTATGGAACCTACACAAGTGATATACTGGCATTATATAATTTTATTCAACTCATTAAGTTATTCAGTATGGAACCTACACAAGTGATATACTGGCATTATAAAATTTTATTGAACTTGTTCAGTTATTCAGTATGGAACTTACACAAGTGATATACTGGCATAATATAATTTTATTGAACTCGTTCAGTTATTCAGTATGGACCCTACACAAGTGATATACTGGCATTATAAAATTTTATTGAACTTGTTCAGTTATTCAGTATGGAACCTACACAAGTGATATACTGGCATTATATAATTTTTATTGAACTCGTTCAGTTATTCAGTATGGACCCTACACAAGTGATATACTGGCATTATATAATTTTATTCAATTTGTTCAGTTATTCAGTATGGAACCTACACAAGTGATATACTGGCATTATAAAATTTTATTGAACTTGTTCAGTTATTCAGTATGGAACCTACACAAGTGATATACTGGCATTATATAATTTTATTGAACTCGTTCAGTTATTCAGTATGGACCCTACACAAGTGATATACTGGCATTATATAATTTTATTCAATTTGTTCAGTTATTCAGTATGGAACCTACACAAGTGATATACTGGCATTATATAATTTTATTCAACTCATTAAGTTATTCAGTATGGAACCTACACAAGTGATATACTGGCATTATATAATTTTATTCAACTCATTAAGTTATTCAGTATGGAACCTACACAAGTGATATACTGGCATTATAAAATTTTATTGAACTTGTTCAGTTATTCAGTATGGAACTTACACAAGTGATATACTGGCATAATATAATTTTATTGAACTCGTTCAGTTATTCAGTATGGACCCTACACAAGTGATATACTGGCATTATAAAATTTTATTGAACTTGTTCAGTTATTCAGTATGGAACCTACACAAGTGATATACTGGCATTATATAATTTTATTGAACTCGTTCAGTTATTCAGTATGGACCCTACACAAGTGATATACTGGCATTATATAATTTTATTCAACTTGTTCAGTTATTCAGTATGGAACCTACATTCATGTGAAATCCTCTATTTTATGAACATTTCAGGTATTGTAGAAGATTACAAGCCGCCATTTTGGGACATGGTTCCGTCAGATCCGTCGTTTGAAGATATGCGTAAAGTAGTTGTTGTAGACCAGTATAGGCCAGTTATACCTAACAGATGGTCCTCAGATACAGTATGTGTTTCTCTCTATATTTCCTAATTAAAGCAGCATGCCGCAATATTCATGCTAATTTTCATGAAAATTTTGAAAATGTATTTTAAAGTAAATTATTGTGAAGTGAACAACGGAAGTAATTTACACATTGCAAATGGCACTTACAATCCACATAAATTACTAAATAGAGGTCAAAATATACATAAATGCCTCTTACTGCGTTAGTAACACAGTAGAATTATAGTGATTGATACTGCACAATCAGTCATTAATTGCACATAACATGTTAATAATTAATTAAATATTGAATGTTTTTACTTTTCTAAAGTACTTAATACATTTATCTAAAGATTGAATTTCTTGAAATATTTTTGCTAATCTGGAGGCTTGCAGCTTTAAAATCACATCACATTCATGTTTAGCTTAACTATTTGCTGTTGGCTTTGCGTGTTGAGTCAGTTTTTGTAAGTTGGTATCTCAAAAACTACTGAAGGGAATGGGTTGAAACTTAAGACACTTATTCTCTGTGATTATCTAACATGATAGGCATAGGTTGAAATGTATCTATGTCTATATGTAAAATATTGATATATAATCCGATGTGCTAACCAATGAAAAATTGCAGAATTTATGTGATTCGTTATTCATTTTCAGTCTCTGTCTCAGTTATCACGTACTTCGTTATCAATTTCAGACTCTGTCTCAGTTATCACGTACTTCGTTATCATTTTCAGACTCTGTCTCAGTTATCACGTACTTTGTTATCAATTTTCAGACTCTGTCTCAGTTATCACGTACTTCGTTATCAATTTTCAGACTCTGTCTCAGTTATCAATACTTCGTTATCAATTTTCAGACTCTGTCTCAGTTATCACGTACTTCGTTATCAATTTTCAGACTCTGTCTCAGTTATCACGTACTTCATTATCATTTTTCAGACTCTGTCTCAGTTATCACGTACTTCGTTATCATTTTTCAGACTCTGTCTCAGTTATCACGTACTTCGTTATCATTTTCAGACTCTGTCTCAGTTATCACGTACTTCGTTATCATTTTCAGACTCTGTCTCAGTTATCACGTACTTCGTTATCAATTTTCAGACTCTGTCTCAGTTATCACGTACTTCGTTATCAATTTTCAGACTCTGTCTCAGTTATCACATACTTTGTTATCAATTTTCAGACTCTGTCTCAGTTATCACGTACTTTGTTATCAATTTTCAGACTCTGTCTCAGTTATCACGTACTTCGATATCAATTTTCAGACTCTGTCTCAGTTATCACGTACTTCGTTATCAATTTTCAGACTCTGTCTCAGTTATCACGTACTTCGTTATCAATTTTCAGACTCTGTCTCAGTTATCACGTACTTCGTTATCAATTTTCAGACTCTGTCTCAGTTATCACGTACTTCGTTATCAATTTTCAGACTCTGTCTCAGTTATCACGTACTTCGTTATCAATTCTCAGGTTCTGTTTCAGTTATCACGTACTTCGTTATCAATTTTCAGGTGCTGTCTCAGTTATCACGTACTTCGTTATCAATTTTCAGACTCTATCTCAGTTATCACGTACTTCGTTATCAATTTTCAGACTCTGTCTCAGTTATCACGTACTTCGTTATCAATTTTTAGACTCTGTCTCAGTTATCACGTACTTCGTTATCATTTTCAGACTCTGTCTCAGTTATCACGTACAATGAAGGAATGTTGGAACCAGAAACCCAAGGCGAGATTAACAGTGTTACGGTTGAAAAAGACACTTCGTAAACTTTGGGACGATGCGCAAGATGACAAACTCATGGATAAAAACAGTCTCAAAGATAAAATTATTTCCGAGAAAATAATAGACAAGATGGCAGACGTTTGATTTGTGAATGCTGGGAGTTTAATGTGCAAAATTCTTCATTTAGATTTGAATAAATAAATCGTCAGATCTGATTTATGACTTCGCTTGCAAACTGGTTGACAATGAACAGTTTTGGCATTTTGCCAGAAATCGATTCGCATGTTCATAGAACTAACTAGAAGGGTCTTTGTAGTATTGAAATTAATCATGATTATTAAGTTGAGTCACCATCTAATATAACATGTATAATCACGAGCTATTTGGGTAGATCAGTCATTAAATCCTGCAACTGGTTTATTACACACAAGTGATAACATAAATGTAAGTCAGTAAAATTATCTTGCTCTGTTATGAAGTAATCAGGTGAGAGACTTGTTGAACAAAACCTGTTGATCTGTTAAGCTCTGGCTTCCACAATGATGCCTGTATGTTGAACATATTAGGCAAATCAGGAGTTGGTTCAGTAAATTCCTGGTACGGTTGACCAGTCCAACATGACAAAACAAAGAAAAATATTGATGAGGTGAAATACATGTACTTTAATTAAGTTGAATTGCAACACATAGGTCTAATGTTAAGCCATCACAACACAAATTGGCAACACATTGGATGAATATGTAGATTATAACATGCAGTACATTCATTCAACATTAAGCACATATCACAAAAGACCAATATATTGGACAATTGCTTGTATTGCCCAAAATATTAGTTCCTGTACATGTAGGGCCAATGTTAAGATGATTTGGTTGTAGTGAACAAAAAATGTATCACTTTTACACAAAATGCTTGAAGATTACACAGTGAAAAATTCAAAGAAATTTTTTTTTCTGTCATTTTATCTGAAGAACAATCTCTATTAGTAAAATTTACTGCAGCCTCAATACTCAATATTTTTAATCAATTTCATTTTTGGGAGCTTTAATAATAATAGACAGACTTGCAGTGTCGGAGAAATTGTCAGCAAATGTTTACCAAAGTTAATTTGATGTATATCTTTTATTCATGATATAAGATTGAGGTAACAAACAAAAGTGTACATGTATACATGTAAATGATTATATGAAATTGGGATTTACTGTACCAGTACTGGAATAACTGTTCTAATAAAACATTTCTGTTTTACTTTATTGACACTTATTTGAGATATACACATGTACGTATATTCTCTGTGTTTAAAGTGTTAATATAAGATGGAGATATTTGAAATATCTTGTTAATTAGTGTAGAAATATCTAGTTAATTGATTTTATATTTTGACCATGATTATATTGATAATATCCTGACAGCTGGGATTATTGTTATCATCACTTTTATCATCATCATCGTTCTTTAATCATGAAGTGTACATAGCTATTCATTTGTCATAGTGAAATTTCATAACTGTTTCAATCATCATTATCATCATCATCATAAATAATCATAAAATAATTTTTTTTAAACCTTTTGTCATAAAAAGTTTAAACATCACCCTTAATCAAAAATTTCATTGCTTTAAACATGAAATTTTATAATTCTTTCATCATTGAAATATCATCATTATTCATAAATTATCTTTTGGGTGATTTTTTTTCTTTGAACTAAATTTTTTTATTTGTCATTTATTTGTACATTTTGTTTTTTTTTCATTTGAAATTTAAAAATGTGAAGTCGTTTTTTAAAACTGTTTTCTGAAAAATTTAAAGAAAAAATTTGAGTACTTTACTTTTTCGTGTTTATTAATGGGAAAAGATCATGTTTTAAATTTGCATTTTACATTAAATTTTTCCTTTTAGTTTTACCCTTGGGGGGAAAATTTTTCATCGGAAATGGGGTTGCCAAAATGAGTCTGTGCTGTACAATGGCATGCTTAGAATGAGATAATTTTACCATTATGAATGAAATTATAATTTCTTACGCTGTTGTAAGAAAATGGTTACGGATGAAATGACAAAAATGTTAATGAAAAATTGTTTTTATCAAGGTAAAGAGTTCAAAATATAATAGAATATGGTAGAATATGCAAGAAAAAATATCTGACGTAGGTTTATGGTTCGGATTCGAATGTTCGTCCCTCGGGAACCCGCCCATGTGTGGTGACTCGGCAAGCCTCGTTTCCAACCAATGGGCGGATCCCCTCGGGACAGATCCGGACCGCAATATATGGCAGATAGTATTGGTATCACACCAATTCTTTGATTAACCAGCACAGAAACAAACTTCTGGTAAAAGTTAATATCCTCGTGGGAAAATATTCTTTTACAAGTTTACCCACAATTATTAGCAATATGAAAATGGCCAACGTCATGTAATGAGGCTGGATAAGGCCAAGTTCGTGGAAACATTGAAAGAAACCTGCTGTCAGTATGAAAATCTGCATCTTTCTGTCTTTCCAGTGATACCGTGGGACTGGGGAACGACTGACGGTGCCAGGAGTGGTGTAAAATCGACACATACCACACTGACATTGTTTCAACAGTTTTCTTCTGTCTTTAAAGTTGCCTGATCTAAATTCGTTTGAAAATATCTGGGGTGAACTGAATAAGCGTGGCTAAAGGAGCCCAAAGACATTTATATTTTATAAACTAACCTGAAACATTTGTTAAATGGATTTGCCATTTGTTGAATAAGGAATAGTCTGAAAATTAACGGAATACAGTAAAGACGCTGGTCAGGTTGCCTGGATGTGCAGTCTGGCCTGACTACTGGCAGCAAAGGCAAAACATTTTCGGTTCAAATAGGTAAAAGGCTTCAACTAATTATAATTAATCAGAGTTGCCACTGAATGGGTTAAAGTGAGTGTATATTTATAATTTGTCAGTGTTTTCAAGTTGTCGAGCAATATTTATAGGACATATACAATATTGACTCAATTGGTCATAATGTGTGTGCTATAGTTGTTATTTGGCATATAAATAATTTCTGGAAAAGTTAAATCATAAGGTCTGAATTATTGTAAAATACATTAGCAGTGTCATAAAATGATGTCAATTATTGATATGTTAAGTTCATACATTTATTTCTGTTCTGTCACGTACATTACACAAACTTTCAATTGGAGTTCGCGACTTGTAAATTATACCGAGCAAATCACCGACTGATACAGTCTTTGACCCATATCATATAATCTAAACTAAATAAATGGAAAAGGATTTAAGAAAATGAAAGAAAAATAAGGTAAGTTTAATTTGAAATTTCCGTCCCTTACCGTCAATCTTCGGCTAAAGACTTCGAATACCAATCGCAAATTTTCGGTACTTTTTCCGTCAATCTTCGGCTAAAGACTTCGAATACCAATCGCAAATTTTCGGTCCTTTTTCCGTCAATCTTCGGCTAAAGACTTCGAATACCAATCGCAAATTTTCGGTCCTTTTTCCGTCAATCTTCGGATTATGAATAAGCGTCAAGTTACCAGTCGTGCTATAGTTTTGGCTTCCTAGGGTCACTGGGGACTCGATTCTAAGAGTTAATTTATTTGAAAAGGTAGTACTAGTTTGCTTCAGAATACTGTGTGAAAGTAGTTCCGTGTATTTTTTCCAGTTACTAGAATCAGATAGTACTAATTTCTTTTTTCTTTTTTTACTTTAAATCTTATATCATTTATTAAGATTTATCGAAAAGAACATTTTACAGAAGAAGTTTTTATAAGAGCACGACTGTTTTACTCAAAGGGAGACAATAAATATCACAATGATGGAATTATTTATTTTCAGTTATTTCCCTTATTTCCAAATAGCTTTGTCACGGTAGGGAATCACGTGACTTTTACGGTTACCCGTACAGACAATATGGAGGCCTAAAAACCTCGCTTCACATGTGTTTTTCAGGTTATTCTTTATTAAATCCCTTTTACTTACATACGAGACCTGTTGCAGCCTACGCGAAATAAAGAATTGTTGCCGCCTATACCTTATTTTCCACCCCTGTGCTCATAGCTTTTACAAACACTCAAAAATTCAACAGAAATGTTCAATGTTGACAATTATTTTTCGGGTAACATTCACGCAAAATTTGTATTTTATATGAATTTGATTAAACAACGTCGTGTTAGCAAATAGAAAATGTTCATAGAATTTCTTTATTTGAAAATGTAAATATTAGGCATGTTAAATGTTGACTGGTCATTTTCTATTCCATTACATAAGAGAAAAATAATTTGGGTAACCCCCACGCGTACTGTTATTGTTGATAACTCCCACGCAATATTTTATGTACAAGCAATATCTATGCAGGTAATAGCCTAGGTATTGATGCATATAGACTTAAACGTTCATAAATTTTTGAATAATATTAAAAATACCGCCAATAGGTCCTTGATAGAATGAACCCAGCAGGCACATCAACGTTGTACAACGTTGAATTATGGTCAGATTTCAACGTTGAAATAACGTTGGATTTATGTTCGAATTTGAAAGTTTACAAAACGTTGAAATTCAACGTTGGCACAACGTTGAAGTTTCAATGTCATTTCAACATACTTTATTTCTAATATAAAGCAAAGTACTGTAACAGAGTTTAACAAAAAAAATCAAGACACTATTAAATACTTCAGCTTTTTTATTTCAAAAATACAGTTCAAGTTTAGCTTAAATTCAAACGATTCAAGAAGTCCTTTTAGTTTAACAATTTAGCTACAATCTGTCCCAATCTACCACTAGTACTTCTTCTAGATCTCTCTAGGTATGTCTTAAGTGTTTCATGATGGTGTTTGAATACTTCTACTGCTTCTGCAAATAAAATAAAGTTACTAGTTAAAACTGACATGGTCAATCTCAAATAATATATATAATTAATCAACTTAGTGATTTGTTTTATCTTAAATGTATTGTATGCAGCATCTTGTAAACAACAAATATGTAAATTTTATATTAATAACGTAACAAAAGTATTCTGAAAAATAGTATATTATTAAGACATGATAAATATCCAGTAGATGAAATATTTATACTTTGTAAAGAAATATAAAATATATATATATTAATTATAAGAATTTCAATTTAACAAACCTGACAGTCCTTTTCATGTTGAATTTATGGTATACAAGCTACAGCCGCAATATTCTAAATTTCAGCCAGGACCAGGATCTAGAATAAAAAAATAGATTTATTATTCCCTATAAATTTACGGCAATTAAACATAAAATTTAACACTCACTTTTGTTATTTAACCTCAAACAGTTTAATCAATATTTGTTTTGATAATGCAATGGATATAATGTATTTTTCAAACTAATTCACACTTAATTTTACTATCACTAAGATGTAAATACAGCTAGATTGACGAATCGTCTTTGGGCGTAAATTATATAGGCCGAACAACACTTGTTACAATAATATGATAAATAAATTTCAAAAAGGCATGACGTGTAAAATCATAAATTGCCAAGGACATCAATTCTTTCGCGTAAGGCCTACCAAACCCAAATCATTCAATTAGGTCGCGTTTTGATACAAAAGTCTAAAATATTAGATACTGTTTTGTATTTCTGTTTTTATTAGTAAAATTTCAGTTGTCATTGTCCATATTTTACAGATATGGAAGGTTCCATCTCGGATATTGTTTGTGATAAATGTGGGAAACATTTCATTCACGGATAGGTCTCAATTATTGACCACATAAACAGTCTGCACGGCATAGGACTTTATAAATGTTGTAGTAAAACATTTTATAGGCCAGCAAATCGGAAACGTTACGGGTTTTACTGTCAATATTAAGATGACATTCAATTATAAGTCTTTTAGATTTTATTATCTAGTTTGTAAAATAAAAGACCCATTCTAATATTCTTTACGTTGTTTTCTTTTTTGCTTCAGATTGAAAAAACACAACAAATTAATGTTAAACACAGACACTAATTTGAAAAATAGTTGGTTACATAAAAGACTAAGTGATAAAATGATTTGAATGTCTTTAAAATCTTTATATTACGAATAACAGTAAAATGCCATACCTGTGACGTTTCAATTTGCCACAACATTTACAAGGACCTGTGCCGAGTAGCCACTTTATATGTTTATTAAGACAAATGTTTTCCAACATTATCCACAAACAATATCTGAGCTGGAAACGTCCATATCTGCAAACTATGAAAAATGACAACTGTAATTGTGCTTAAACTGAAATCGACCTTCTTATATTTGATACTTTAATTTTAATTTCTGCGATTAATTTATCTGTACCGAAACTTCATTAAATATATTCACGTGAGTATGTATTCTGCTATTCATAGGGGCTTAATTCTATCCAGGACCTTTTGGCGGTATTTTATATATAATTCAAAATTCTATGAACGTTTAAGGTTAAGTGCATCAATCATGAATTTTTTTCAATCAATATCTAGGCTATTACCTGCATAGATATTGCTTGTACATGAAATATTGCGTGGGAGTTACCAACAATAAAAGAACGCGTGGGAGTTACCCAAATTATTTTTCTCTCGTGTAATGGAATAGAAAATGACCAGTCAACATTTAACATGCTTTATATTAACATTTTCAAATAAAGAAATTCTATGAACATTTTCTCTTTGCTAACACGGACGTTGTTTAATCAAATTCATATAAAATACAAATTTTGCGTGAATGTTACCCGAAAAATAATTGTCAACATTGAAAATTTCTGTTGAATTTTTGAAGTGTTTGTAAAAGCTATGAGCACAGGGGTGGAAAATAAGGTATAGGCGGCAACAATTCTTTATTCCGCGTAGGCTGCAACAGGTCTCGTACGTAAGTAAAATGGATATAATAAAGAATTACCTGAAAAACACATGTGAAGCGAGGTTTTTAGGCCGCCATATTGTCTGTACGCGTAACCGTAAAAGTCACGTGATTCCCTACCCTGTTTGTTAGAGTCAAAATACCATTTTGGATAAAATTGTCAGTCAATGAGTAACATTGCTTAAACATTAAGATTTCATTTGCAAAAACAACACAAGAAAGGAAAGAGAAAGACAGAAGAAAAAATGAAATAAAAAGACCGAAACATAATTAGTTTGCTAAATCGGCCAATTTATCCCTTTGATAAAGTCAGGTCGGCTCTGTCAACATAAAGTTCGAGTTTCACGTGCACGTCAGGACTGGACATACTTGGAATTTGTTTATACGTAAATTTTGCTATGGTCAAAACCTATAAAAAATCTTTTAAACTTTTTAAATTTAAGTTCAGGATTCGATTGCCAAGAATTCCGGAATATTTAAGCCAAAGGACCTTAGGTATGTTTGAGACTAGGGTCTGCGGAGATGACAGCTCGTGATGATGAACCGCCATAGCAGTAATAGAGAGCAATTTGTCATGAAGCACATTAACTGGATAAAATATCGTTGGTGTATTTTTTACTGATAAATCGTGGTTTCCATTGTATCAAGCTGATATCCGTGTACGGTTGTTCCGATGAAGGAATGAACAGTATGCCGACTGTTGCGAGATGTTTTAGGAACGTGGGTCACTGCTAATGTGGGGTGAGTATCGCACCCTGTACGTCACTATTGGGAAAGCCAATTGACCAAAAATACAGAAAAGATACTTTAGGCCAATTTGTTGTCCCTCTGCTGCAAAACGCATGAAACGATAACGAATTTACAACAAAATAATGCCAGACTCATTATGGCTGTGTTATTATACATTTTTTACGAAATCAGAACAAATGACCCTCAGAAACCGTGTGTTTGACCTAAGCTCTATGAGCTATGAGATAATCTTGAGCGACGCATAAAATATTAGTTATAAATATTCCTGACAGGTTATATGGTCCTATATAAACGGTTGTTTTGGAAGTATAACCCGAGGCGCTAGGCGAGGGTTTTATTGCAAGCAACCGTTTATATACGATCATATAACCTGTCAGGAATACTTATAACGAATTTATAATACAGCATACTTCCCTTTTTTGAGCAAAAGGTGAGATTTCTTAGAAAATTGACAGTAGCCGTGTCAATTCTTACGCATCCAAACCGGTGTTAAATAGCCGATAAACACCGCTCAGATCGATATTATTTCTTAAATATAAACGTCACGATTATCCAATGAAAAGTGACGTGCGGTATCATAATGACGTCAAAATCTGTCAAACAACGTCAGCAATCTACAAGCACCGCGGCTTGAAGACTGGAATAGCATACCAAAGGCTGACATTAATAAGCTTATCCTCTCAATGCTAGGTCGGTATCAGGCAGTCAGCATATTGTAAATATTGTTGTAAGTTGGCACCGCTGACGAAGAGTAAGCTAGTTTTAAATCAATCAACACTCAAACTTAAGATAATAAGGAATATCTAAACGAGGCTATAACCGTACGGGTCCAGCTATTATCTCAAGGGACCAGCTTTAACCTCACGGGACCATTTATAATCTCACAGGACCAGATATAATCTCAGGGGACCAGTAATGATCTCACGGGACCAGCTATAACCTCACGGGACCAGCTATAATCTCACGGGACCAGCTATTATCTCACGGGACCAGCAATAATCTTACGGGACCAGCTATAACCTCACGGGACCAGCTATAATCTCACGGGACCGGCTATAATCTCACGGGACCAGCTATAATCTCATCGGACCAGCTATAATCTCATGGGACCAGCATATCTCACGGGACCAGCTATTATTTCAAGGGACCAGCTATAATCTTACGGGACCAGCTTCAACCTCACGGAACCAGAGAGTTTCGAGCGTGATCTTTTCTAGCAAAACCCACTAGATAACAAATATTTTACTTTTTTTCATTTAAATAATGCTCGCCCATATGGTCTCTTTCCGGTGGCGAGGGTAAACAAACGCAAACACACACAATTTCATTTAACAACGTTTGTACAAATTTATTTAAAGATTTACTTGACTCTTTAAACGTTCGGGTTTAACATCTTTAAAATCTTTTTCAACCAGGTGTAACTGCACAGTTTATGTTTTTATGTGTTTAGTCAAGCGTTTATCTTGGGGAAATAATTTACATCTATACTCGTATATGTAAGAATGATCATCAACTTTAACTTAATATACTTTATCTAAAAAGGATGTTTAAGATATATATTATATGTTGGTTTATTTGTTTTATTTATCTATCAAGAACATCTCATTAAGATGTGTATAAATGTAAGATTTGTTAAACACTGGATTAATTATTAGGCTAGAAAAAAGGTTAGTGCCCTGGACTTTATATTGAACTTCACAAAGGGTTTAAAGCTATATCTAACTAAATATTTTATAAAATGTATCAACAGTAAAATCATATTGCTTCCATAATCTTACATTCGATTCGTGACAGAGTTGTAACATAAGATGTCTCTGTATACAATGTATTGTAACACACATGAATATTGTAACACACATGAATATTGTAACACACATGAATATTGTAACACACATGTATATTGTAACACTCATGCATATTGTAACACACATGAATATTGTACGTTAACAGAATGAAAAGTCCCGCAACAAAATATTATTCTGCTATTTTAATAAGGAGTTTTATCCGTATAGGAATCACGTGGATGCACCATTCACTTTGAAGTCAATTTACTTTTATATTTAATTAGTAAAAAGCATTTTGGAAGCACATATTCTTTTTTTTTTTTAAAAATTCAAACAATGATTTTTGCAGCAGATATATAGCTTTAAATATACAACATTATCAATACAACTTATAGATAGATTAATTAAAGGAGCTCCACAAGTGTTAACATATACAATTTGACAATCTTACATATTTCAATTTTAGAAATATGATATAAGTTGACTTTAAAGGTTAAGGTCGTTTAAAGGACAAGGTCAAACTTGAGTTGTTCAACATGGCATTTTAACGTTAAGTGTTGTTTTCTTCAAGTACCAATCAAATTCATCCATTAATAGCATTATGAAAACAACAATTTTACTTAAAGGTCAAGACTATACTTGTGTTGCTCAATATGATCAATTTATTCTAACTCTTGTTTTGTTTAAACGTGAATCCAATCCATCCATAAATAACAAACACATGGCAATTTTAGTAACTTAAAGGTCAATGTCATTTAAAGGCCATTAGATCCTACTGCAAACTAGTATATCCACTTACAACTTGTTGTGCAGGGTATGTTTGTACAGACCTACATCAAATGGTATAAAAATCTCGAAAATGAAATCCGTGCCTGTCATGTTAAAATACCTAAGTGAAGTCTTTTAAAATTAAGATAATGTGACTCACGCTTTGTGGCATCGTATACAACTTACGACGTATATATAACTTACGCGTGAGCTATAATACGTTGGCCGTAACACCGTATACAACTTACGACGTATATATAACTTACGCGTGAGCTATAATACGTTGGCCGTAACACCGTATACAGCTTACACCGTATACAACTAACCGTTAGCTGTAAATGTCAAGATGTTATATTTCACTGTATATAGCTCATTTTTTAGATTTGTATGGAAGATTAAATACTACTTTGTCTATATTTTGCTACATTTATAACATATTATTTCACATGTGTCGTTATATTCTCTAAAATCATATATAAACATGATGAAATTCATAGTTTCCCTATCCTTAGAAGTGAAATTTTATTTATTTTTTGGAGCATAATTTGCTTTCAAGATACGTAGTTCGATATTTTTTAGTTCAGGAGGCGTATATCTTTGTAAATGTACGAATTTTTCATCTATGCACATAAATTTGTTTAAAATCGTGTGACCAAGCTACCTTTGATGCTGTTATTTTAATTTTTGTAAATTGCAAGTATTTATTGCCGCATCGTTATTTGATACAGGTAAACATTCTTTAATTATGTATTTCACATTACACTGATTATAAAAGTTGACGATTATTTTCAGTATTAGACGTAAGGATACAACAAGAGGCAGTCGGACAAAGATTCGTGAAATGGATAGGTATGCAAACTCGAATAAAAATGTAGATATGGATGGATTGATGAATGAGTGGCGAGTAGATGGGTGGTTGGTGGATGGATGTATGTATGAATAATGAATGAATGAATAAATAAATGAATGAATGAATGAATGAATGAATGAATGAATGAGTGAGTGAGTGAGTGAGTGAGTGAGTGAGTGAGTGAGTGAGTGAGTGAGTGAGTGAGTGAGTGAGTGAGTGAGTGAGTGAGTGAGTGAGTGAGTGGGTTTTGGGTGGGTGGGTGGATTTTGGGTTGGTGGATTTTGGGTTGGTGGGTGGGTGGATGGGTGTGTGAGTTTGAGTGTGTGGATGGATGGATGGTAAACTAGTGCTTTTAGAAAATAACATAACCAACCAGCTATAATGAACGAGGAACGGGAAAACGCATGCTATCTTTACTCACAATTCCCCTAAAAGATATCAAAAATTACATAATGAAACGAAACATAAGATAATTAGTAGTCCTTTTATTTCAAGAATTTATTGCCCATAGTATCACTCAACGTCTTTGTTTGTTTACACTAGTTTAATTTCAGTATTTAATATGTGACCTGATGTTAAGTTATGACACAGGACGCGGATTTCCTGTTCGGAAATTATCGGATAAACTTACCGTAAGTCAAAGTTACAACAGGCAGACTTCGGCCGAAAACAACAAAAATGTATGGGTTCGATCATTGAAAATTAATTACAGCTTACTGCAGAATATAAAGCTGTGTTTTGTATCATTTTCTTGTATATCTGGTAACAAATAATGATGAAACTTCAACTTATGATGATTTATCTGCGGAGCATATATATTTTTCCTGCAGTATTGATATTGTTATCTTTCCTAAGGTTTATATGTTGACATCTTAGACAACTCGCTAGAATTATGTTCTCTAGGTTACTTAGATATCAGTTTCTTTTCAGAAAATATATCCTCTAATTCTTGACAAGGTAAAACATATTGATATCTCAGTATGCTACGAAGTTTTGATTTTTAGCTCGACTTTCCGAAAAAAAAAATGAGAGAATTTCAGTCAATATTGCGTTGGAGTTGACGACATATGTTTACGGTTTTGCGCTTTTTTTATTACTACAGTCACTGGAAACATTCTTCTGAATTTTCACACATAATACGAGTAAATCAAAATAATCAAGGTCTGGTTAAGAATTGTATCCGCAGCTGTTCACAAGAAACAATACACATTTTTTGGGGTAATAATTGTTTGTCATTAGACAGGATCTATAACTCCATGGTCATTTCTTTCCTTTGGTATTTTGTTAAGCTTTGCTTATAAGTTTCATCACTTCAAGCACCACTAAAATCTTCATTTCAAACGCGAACCGTTCCTAATTGTGGGTTACTAAGATCCATTTATCTGCCATATGGGCCTGACGTATTCAAATAAACCTTGAAACCTTGAAACCTTGGCAAAGAATTATTCCCCTTTGTAAACTGAAATACTTTGAACAGTGAAGTGACGAGCGTATTGTCCCACAGTCAGCTCTTGTTTACACTGTTTAACTTTGCAATTAAATTCTTGCATATCTGAACAATGAACCGAGCTTTATTCTTAGACAGACAATATTTTATTTTTTTCATGTCAGTACGAAAATATCGTGACGGATTTACAAAATATATGTTCTCGTATTTTACTAATGAGGGTATGATAAAGACGATATTCTAGCTTGTTACAATATTGTAGTCTAGTCATTTGTTGTTCTCATGTGTATTTGTTCATGTTTTAATTTAAAAATATTGTTGTATGTTAGTGATATTTCAGAAATATTTTGATAAGATAATACATGATCCGTGGATCATTTAAACACGAGACAACTTTGACTATCTTTGGTTCTGTTCTTGCATAATATAATAGGCATGTGGATAAAGAATGTAGGTAAATTATATTTGTTAATTAAAGGGTAAATTATATTTGTGATTTGAAGCTGTCATTCTATAAGAAAGAATGCGAAGCGGGAGAATTTCTTCAGTGTGCTTACCCGACATAAACATTTAAACTAAGAGTTAGAGATCACATGTCTAGTCAACGTTTTATGAGTAAAATAATACAATATTTGCATTTATTGCGTAATTGAAGAAGGTATCGTAAAGCAGAGAGGCAGATAAATATAATCATGTAGCAGTTAAGAGACGGATAGATATAGTCATGTAGCAGTTAAAGGGACAGATAGATATATTCATGTAGCAGTTAAAGGGTAGATAGATATATTTATGTAGCAGTTAAAGGGTAGATAGATATATTTATGTAGCAGTTAAGGAACAGATAGATATATTCATGTAGCAGTTAAAGGGTAGATGTAGATAGATATATTCATGTAGCAGTTAAAGGGCAGATAGATATATAAATGTGGCAGTTAAAGGACAGGTAGATATATTAATGTAGCAGTTAAGGGACAGGTAGATATATTAATGTAGCAGTTAAGGGACAGGTAGATATATTTATGTAGCAGTTAAGGGACAGGTAGATATATTAATGTAGCAGTTAAAGGACAGATAGATATATTCATGTAGCAGTTAAGGGACAGATAGATATATTTATGTAGCAGTTATAGGGCAGATAGATATATTAATGTAGCAGTTAAAGGACAGGTAGATATATTAATGTAGCAGTTAAGGGACAGGTAGATAAATTAATGTAGCAGTTAAGAGCCAGACAAAAATTTATGTTGCGGTCAGGGGACAGTCAGATATTTTCATAAATGAATAGACTTATTGTAACCAAATTTTCTTTAATTTTCAATTCATGTTTAGCCTAAACATAACATACCAATATAAAGTTTCTCGTATGTCTTGCAGGATAAGCAAATGGCTACTTATGATTGTAGCCTGTCTGGTGACGATTATAAACATGGGTCTCGTGTTCTCCTTTGGCAGTTTATTTGTGGCATTGATGGAAAAGTTTCAAACAAATCGGTCAACTACTGCAGCTGTGCAATCTCTACTGGTAGGAGTGACTTTAACTTTTGGTGAGTTTATGTATCTACGTTTCTGTAAAGATAGTTTGGCGACGTTCCTTCCTGGAATGGCAGAGGAACACCTCAATGTATTAATTTTCATATATGAGCGTGAATAGAATACCAAACATAGACCAGAGACGTTAAAATATTATATGTCTCAGCATAGACTTCTTATAAGCCGACTGAATAGATTCTTAAAAAGAAAACAGCAAAGCTTTCGAGCGGACTTTGGACCCACAGCGATGACGGCAAAGTGGTTCGACGTCCGCGATCATATTCATTTGGTCATGGAGGGGGGGGGGAGGCTATAAAAACTATTATAAATTAATCAGTTTTGAGGTATATTTGCAGACGTTGTAGTTAAAGGGACTCCACTGAGGATTTTTGACATGACGGGACTGGAAATATTTTTTTTGAGTTTATTACTCCATTTGATGTAGATCAATACTAATAACGTATGAGCAAAATTTCAGATCATTTGATCCCTCCGTTTTTTTCAGAATAATTAGTATAATAGTAAAAAATGACCTAAAATTGAAAAGCGTGTTAAACGCTTTTCACTCAAATCGGACTGGAA